GCCCCTCTCCCGCCTCCGCCTCGTCCACGCCGAGTTCCTCTTCACGGAGCCCCACTCCAAGCGCATCAAGGTCAAGGTCCGCGTCCAGGGCGAGATCTTCAACGGCGCCGTCGCCGAGCAGAGCCACGTCGTCGAGTTCACCGTCGCCGACCACCTCTGCGATTCTTGCACCAAGGCGAACGCCAACCCCGATCAGTGGGTCGCCAAGGTCCAGCTTCGCCAGCACGTTGCTCATCGGCGTACTTTCTTCTACCTCGAGCAGCTGGTTTTGAAGCACAAGGCCGCCGAGAAGGCGGTTAGGATCCAGGAAACCGATCAGGGGGTTGATTTTATGTTTGGGAATCGGAGCCACGCTGTTAAGTTTTTGGAGTTTGTCACCGGCGTTGTGCCCGTGCAGAGCCGATCGGATAAGAGCCTCGTCTCTCATGATAGTAAAAGCAGCACCTACAATTATCATTATACTTTCTCGGTCCAGATTTGCCCGGTTTGTCGTGAGGATTTGATTTGTTTGCCTCCGGGTGTTTCGAATGCGCTTGGGAATCTTGGGCCGCTTGTGGTTTGCACCAAGGTTACGAATAGTATTTGTTTGATGGATCCGCTTACCTTGAGGTCCGCGTTTTTGGACGCGGATAAGTATTGGAGAGTGCCATTCAAGGCTTTTATGTCAAGTAGGCAGCTTGTTGAGTATATTGTGCTTGATGTGGAGGTTGAGAGTCCTGAGGTTAATGTGAATGGTTCAAAGTATTGCTTGGCTCATGTGCAGGTTGCTAGAGTTTCGGATTTCGGGAAGAATGATAATATGTTTATGGTGAGGACCCACTTGGGACATTTGTTGAATCCTGGGGATTATGCACTTGGCTATGATTTGTATGGGGCGAATGGGAATGATGTTGAGATTGATAAGTATAAGGGGTTGGTGATCCCTGAGGCCATTCTGATAAAGAAGAGTTATGAGGAGAAGAGACAGAGGAGGAGAGGAAAGGCGAGGGCTTGGAAGCTCAAGAGCTTGAATATGGAGGTGGATACGACTGCTAAAGGAAAGGTTGATCCAGAGAAGAGGAATGATGAGTATGAGGAGTTTTTGAAGGATTTGGAGGAGAATCCCGAGATGAGGTTCAATATATCCTTGTATCGTAATAAAGAGTATCAGCCGTCAGAGGTGGTGTCGACTGTTGGTGATGATGAACTTCCTTCGGTGCCATTGGATGAGTTACTTGCTGATCTTGATCTCACTGATGGCGATGGGGAGGGGAGTGATGCGGATAGCATGATGGAGTGAGTTTTTTCTCAATAGGATTATTTACTTATGGTTATGAATGTAGTGTCAAAGATGCTTCTTGCTTCTTGTTTGAGTTTTCTTCCATTAGAATTGTGGTATGTATGGTGCTTGCTTGGTGCAGTTATCCTTTTATTTGTTATTGTGCTTTGAGTATAAGATATTTGTTTATCGTGTTTGAAAATCATGAACATTATCTTTGAATGATGGATTTTATTTTTAGTATATCAAAACAATGAGGGTATTATAAACCTTGATTTCAGTACCCTCAGCATAAACTTTCACTTCAAAAAAAGAAATTTGCAGAAGAATTAAGATAGCGTGGTTATTACCTTAATCTTCTTGATTGGGGAAGTAGCAATGTGCTCTCGATTGCACTTGGAAATACTGTGGATTTGTGGAACGCTTTGAATGTATCAACATCTGAGCTTGTGACAATTGATGAGGATGTTGGTCCTGTGACTAGTGTTAGCTGGGCCCCTGATGGCCAGCATTTTGCTGTGGGGCTTAATAATTCTCGTATTCAGTTGTGGGATTCGACCAACAGTCGACTGGTTAGTACTCTTTTCTCTTTGTATTTTGCTTTCGATCAGTCTCGGTAAATTCTTTTAGAATTGGTAGATTTAAGTTGTTATTGCTCTGCACTTCATGTTTGCAAAAAAACGGGTTATTTGAAAAGTTCATTTCGTGAGCCTATTTAATTTTCCAATTAACGAGTAATCGCTTGCATCATCTAGGATTTGGATACTTTGTACTGCAATTAGATAAATAAGACATCAGTTTTTCGATCATAACTGTTTATTACTTATATCTGATTATAAGTTACTTGTACTCGAAGTGGACATAGAATCAGTCATCTACATTTTAGATAATTATGATTTTGTCAATGTGGTATTAGGACCACTCAAATCAGTCATCCACATTTTAGGCTGTGTTTGGGAATGCTGATTTGGGCTTGGATTTGAAATTCTGGGTATTTCAAATCCAAATATCATGTTTGGGCTCAACTTTAGGGCATGATTTTAAATCAAGTGATTTTATACAGTGGATTTGAAAAGCCCAAAAAATATGGATTTCAAATTTCACCACACTAGTTGGTATTTGCCAAATCCTCAATCCACAAAATCCCAACCCCTCAAAAACCCGACTCCTCTTTTTTTCCTCTTTCACGCTCGTGTCGAAGTCCCGACTCCTCAAAGCTCGATCTCGATCCATCGCAGGTGGCCTCGTCCTCCTCTCCTCTACAATCTCTCTCTCGCTCTCTCTCTTCCTCTCTCTCTACTGTCTCCTATCTCTTCCCCTCCATTTGAAACCCTAGATCTGAGCTAGGGTTTTGGTTGTGATCGTCGCGGCTAAAACCCTAGATCAAAGCTAGTACTATTGGCATGACCCCCATTTATGGTGGTTTATGTCATGAGAAAATTATTTTACCAAAAATTTCTAATTTTTTGATGATTTCATTATGAATGCATTAGGTTTTGGTGATTTTGATGGATTCTTAGCTAATTCATTTCTTTATGATTTTGATGATTTCATTTCTTAGCTAATTCCATAAGACTGCTCTTGCTCTCGGAATCGCTCAGGAGCTTGGAAGCAAGGTAAAAGTTCATTTCTTTATGATTTTCTGAGACCAGTTTTTTTTTTTTTTTTGGCTAAATCATGGGAATTGTGATTACTTTTTTGGTATGCTGCTTTGATGTAAGGAACTCATGCCTGTATCTTGAGGAATATAAATTTGAAGTTTGATTTTTTGGTATGCTGCTTTGATGTAAGGAACTCATGCCTGTATCTTGAGGAATATAAATTTGAAGTTTGAACTAAATACACGTATATTAATTGGTTAGTAATCATAGAATTACATTACAGTTTCAAAGGTTAAAATATCATATTCTATCTGTTGATGTACTTTCTATATATGTTTGATATTTTGGATAGTGTCTCGCTATTAAATCAAAACATATATTTGTAAAACTATATTCTATATATGTTTGATATTTTGGATAGTGTCTCGCTATTAAATCAAAACATATATTTGTAAAACTATATTTGAACCTTTTTTGGCATATATGTACTGATGTTGAACTTGGAATCCTTATTCTTAATAGTATTATTCTTGGAATAAACTGGTAGAAAACAAAGAATACTTCTAATATCCATCAGCAATTTTTTTTCCTTATTGAAGAGAAGGACAGCACATGTAATACTCATTATGTCCCCAACCTTCTAAGGTCTTGGAAGAATCAAGAGTGTTAGCTGGATTGCATATTTATTAATAAACACTTATGATGATGAGGATGAAAGGGATTAGCATCATCACCATACCCACCATCACTAGTTTCTCTCTGCTTTTATGAAGGTCCTTCAAAGGATTTGACTTTATTTTTGTGACACATTGGCAATCTTCAGTTGTTATCAAGTACAAGAATGCAATGAAGAATGAAGGTTGATTACATGTGTACGCCAGCTCTTTTCTTTTTGGGACATGAAATCAGTGAAGTAGCTAGTCATATTAATGGAATATACGCATCATAATTTTCTCTGATTTTTACTAATATCAAGATTCTAGGGGTAGCTCATACTAAATTACAACAAGGAGCAGGTATATATATGCATCTAAGACTTTACCATAAATACATGGTCAGCTAATATCAAACTGGTAGCTCATCAATTTACATATTTTTTAAGTGAACAAAGACATGTTCCATCAAAAAAAGTTTATAAATGTTTGCAATATTCGTAAGAACAGGACTAGAATGGACAACTTTGTTGTGCATGGAAATGTAGACACATCAGTTTTGGTTGAAGGAAGCGCACTGCGCACTACACATCATAGATGTTCACTGCATCTACACTTGCAAGTGCATAATTATGTGATAGTCAATATATAAAAACTGTTCTCACTAGTTCCTACTTTTCTATATATGTTAATGCAAATTGTTTGATATCAAACTACTTCAAAGCTGTGTACCTCAACCCATTATGTCACATTTTTTCTCAGCACCAAAGATATGGAGGACCCCCCAACTCGAGCTTCTTTTTTTTTTGAAGGTTCATATATTTTTCTTCTTATATGATTATTTTCACTTCCGTAACAAAGGTATTCCTTGGGAGGTTTGTCTTTATAGTCCTCTGGGTCTTTTATATTTTGATATATGGATTAGAACCTTGTAATTTTATAATTTATGGATGTAATTGTTAAACGCTTTTGAGATTTTATCCTTTCATAGAATAGATGGCATTTGATATCTAACCAAGTACTTCGAAAACTATTTGGAAATGTACTTCACAGAGTCCGCTTCCTGTTTATGAGTAAACAAGCAGAAGGTACCACTGTATCTTCACTGCTGACCCTATACTATTGCTTTATTTTTTCTGCAACATACTTTATCATTGCTTTAGTTAGAAATGATCATCAGAATGTCAAATTTCTGAATTCAACTACCTTAAAATACAGACTGGACCAAAGCTAGTTATTCACTGTTCAGTTTCATATGTTTAGTTTCAGGGGGAAAAGTTACCTTTGGGCATGCAGCCATGCAGGTTCCTCAGTTAGTTCTCTTTCTGCATCTGATAATTGAATAAAATTCTTGAACTTTGTTATTGCTTGACTGAGACTATCAGATTCTTTTATAGTACAGTGATTTTTCCTCTCCAAGAATCACGTTTACATCTGATGCTATAGTTAATAGCTATGATCCAATTATATGTGTAGGTCACATGCTCTTTCGCCATTCATTTGCATCTAATGTTGTATTGCATCAACTTAACCTTGAAAAGCCACTGGAGAGCAAAGAACCAAACCAATATATGTTTTAGTAGCTTGTTTCTGACACTATTATTAGTTTGTCATGCATGAAGATCCTAAGAACTAGACAGTGTTTCTAAGTAATCCTTCGTGCATGATGTGCTAATTCTTTATTACTCATTCTGTGTCATCACTTTGGTATGTATTAGGATGACAAAGAAAGGGAAACAAATTGCATCTCAGTTGAGATCACATGTTGTTTGGAATCGTGATATGGATTCAGCTTTAGCTAATCGTGATATGCACACTTATAGTTGTGATTTGCTTTTGTAGTAGATATTATTTCTGTTTTAGAGCGTATTTTGTTTCATGAACTAATTGATGCCAAATTTTTTAATGTAGGATCCAATAAGTTCTCCGAGACATGAGTTGGAAGCATAAAAGAAAAAGGAGGAGAAGACTTTGAAGGATAAATAGACAATTTTTTGTTATGGTTTCTTTTAGTAGTTTATGTTGTGTTAATTTAGCTTGTTGTAGAAAATCATGGTTATCTACTACCTGTAGTACGTTGTGTTTTAAATGAAGACATATTGCGTAGTCTAAAGCTTCTTATGTGGAATGTTCGCTATACTCTTTTGTGTCGTCAAGTCTTTTATCATGACTAATTTTTAAAGTAGTAGTATTGTTATTTTGGAGATTGAAGGTCAATGTGGTAGTGGATAAAACCATAAAAAAAATGCTATTATAATGAATATTTTGGACATTATTATTATTGTTTGTATTCTCTCGTATCGATTCATGAAGGATGAGATGTTTGCATGAGTATTTATAATTGCTATCGAGGTGATCAATTTGGTTTTGAGTTACTTCTCAAAGTTTTATTTGTGCATGACAGGTCTTTCTTCCTTTTAAAAAGGCTTGGGCTAAGTAGCATGGTACTCATATATGTTAACTATATGTATATGTCATAAATTGTTCACAGAATGATCTTCCTTATCGCTGAAATCCAAGTTCATGTATAATAAAGTGTATCCAAACATTATATTTCAAATCTTTAATTTCAAATCCTTACATTTTGTAAAGTCATCCAAACAAAAGATTCTATCAAATCATGGATTTAAAATCCTAGATTTAAAATCCTTTGATTTTAAATCAATATCCCAAATCCAAATCTTAGTTCCCAAACGCAGCCTTAGATAATTATGATTTTGTCAATGTGGTATTAGGAGGTGACTCAAATTTGCAATCATATGGATTTGCGTTCTGTGGAATCCACTAAGGCCATAGCTAATCCTAGATGATCCTGCAATTTCAGAAATGAATCACATTCATCAATATTTTATTTGATAGTAATGATTGGAAGAAAAATGTTACTGAAAAACCAAACTTGCAATTATATGTGGATTTGGATTCCCTAACTTATTCAATTAAACTTATTTTGATTTATTGTTTCTGGAATAGACTACTGACATCAGAGTATTTTTTTACTGCAATTTCTACAGCTAAGAACATTGAAAGGAGTCCACAGATCTTGGGTCGGCTCTCTCGCCTGGAACAACAACATCCTAACAACCGGAGGAATGGATGGAAAAATCGTAAACAACGATGTCAGAATCCGATCACACGCCATCCAAACTTACCAAGGCCCAATCAAAGACCTCTAAATATGTATACTGTGGCTAGGATTTGAACCACTAATCTCCTCTCCAAACTCCTAAATTTTACCACTAGTCTAAGTAGCCCAAAGTATTCGTGTCATTCAATAAATGTATATGTATATATATATACACACACACACATACATATATTATGCATAAACAAATTGTAAATACTTAGAAATTACATGGTTTAGTATGTAATTAAGCTTGCTTCAATTTTATTAGGACGAGTAGCATGAAGATGGGTATAATAATGGAAGCAGTGTAAAAGATAGTCTGTCAAATTTATTACAATATTTCTGATACTGTACATTTCATGAAGATTTTGGAAGAAATTTTAGCTCCAAACTTTTTTTCTGTTACAGTTCCATAGATGTTTTTCTTCAGGACAAGGATATAACTCTGAAGTTTTCTTTTTTCAAAGCAAAGCACTTTGCTGCACTATGTTGCTAGTTTTTGGAATTTGTGGAGGGAAATAATCTTGCATTTTTTATCTTGTAATAGTGAACTAAGAGAATCTAAAGCCATGATACTCATTGTAATTTATTGTAGCAAGAAGGCAGAAAGATGCAATCCATGTAAAGGATCATTTGCTTCAAACCTAATATGATTTTGATGAAGACTTATAATAAGTCTTATATAGCCTTTTTAGGTATTTGTTTAAGTTTTAGCTCCAACCATTTCCAATCACTAACTTCACAGAAAATTTATTGCAAAGTACAATTTGGTTCTGAGTTTTTATTAAATTACTATTTTCTCATGTAAAACACATTCTCCTAGAATCTTGTTAAATTTTTTTTTCCTTCGGAGCTAGTGCTTGTATAATTTCTTCATGGAGGACCTGGTCCCCAATTCTGATGTAGAAAGCTTTTAATGGTAATGATATAATGCAAAATTAGAAGAACAAAGGTGTTACTGATAAATTTCACGTCAAGATCTGTGTTGTATATCACCCTCTTATTTGACAGAGTTTAGATATCTACTAGTTGGAGTTATACACGTATGCACGCAGATTACGCTCTACTAAAGCATTGGCATAACCATTCCCTTCACCTTTTTAAGTTGGAAACACCTTGTTTTAACTGAGTGATCTACCGATGATAGGGACATGAAGGTCCAGTAATGCACATGGCTTGCCATGCTTCAGGGGGGTTGCTTGCTACAGCAGGGGCAGATAAAAAAAAGTCTGTGTTTGGGGATGTAGATGGTGGATTCTGCACACATTTCTTCAGAGGTCATCAGGGGGTCGTGACAAGCATTACTTTCCATCCTGATCCAAAGCGTTTGATTGTAAGTGGAAGAGTTGTCTAAGTTCTTTCTCTGAATATGTTTCTCTTTTCACTGTGCAAATTGATAGTATTAAATTATTACTGAAATGCACAAGTATTACCCTAATGCATACCCATACCCTCCATGTTCATTTGGATGCAATATGCATTAATGGGATAATGCACATGTGCAGTACAACAAATCGTGTTGGTTATTGGTCATTTGATCTTATTACCTCCACGAAACTTGGATGTTTCATGAGAGCTGTGCTAATGTTTTTGGCGTGTATGGACATTCTAATGAGGCGCAGTTCATTGAGACCTTGTTACCTATGAGGAAGATACAAAAGTTGGCTGTTGTAAAAAAAAATCTGTAAGACTGAGGAAGATACAAAAGTTGGATGTTGTAAAAATATCTGTAAGGAGGTCATTTGCTTTGATTCAGAAAGAAATCTACTGTTACCTGACACTGGTTCAAAGGATGCCTCTCAAATGCTTTCTGCTGAAATCAACGGAAATTGTCAACTTGGTAAAATATTCCTTATAATTATGCGAATTGGTCTGTTTTGATGGTAGAGGTACATCTACGTGTACAAAAAAAAAGGATGCATGTACTGAGTACTGAGTAGTAGTTTTAAGTAGCAATAAATCACCTCTTACAGTCTTATTTATAATATATACCTTGGCACTTGCTTAATAGCACTGCAATTATGGACAGAAAATTGACAAGATCTTTCATTAGTTGAAGGCAAGGAAATCTAATTGGAACAACCAAAACATTGACATAAAGTATACATACAAGTTAACAATTTGCTATCCTGTGCTATGAACATGACTATATAAGATTCATACTGTGTGCAATTCCACAGAGATTCTACAAAATGAATTGGGGTACCTGATGTTGTTTTATTTCAAAGGTAGCTTTCTTCTGGTGTGCTATTTAAGATGATTTCTCCACCTTTAAATATAATATTCTTTGTAATTCTACACATTCTCTCTTATTATCTTAATTGTGTGTGACTTTATCATCTAAGGCCTTAAGATTACATCATTTTTAATAAACCATAGTTATTGGCATGATACATTCTCCAACATTGTTTGTAGACTACATAATTTTCTTTTGTGTACTATAGATAATAAATACCATATTGATTTTAGTCTAATTAGCATATTCATTATAGTAAGATTATAAACAACCTCATTTCATAAAAAGTATCTAGAATTGTGTCACCTCTAGTCCCAAACCGAAGTACAGTAAATGTCCTAGGTCCAGAATAAGCCCAAACTTGAACCACTGTCTCAGTCCTACTTAAGAATCCCAGGTCTAAATGTCCTAGGTCCAGAATAAGCCCAAACTTGAACCACTGTCTCAGTCCTACTTAAGAATCCCAGGTCTATAACACTCCCTAACCAGTTCTTCTCAGTCCTACTTAAGAATCCCAGGTCTATAACACTCCCTAACCAGTTCTTTTTGTGAGAATTGTAACAGTCTGATAAATTCTAATCATCCTCTCTGAGTTGATTGACTTTATTGAATTTACAGAAATGGGACTTAGATGTTATTTTTGAGTGGGTACCAAGATAGATGAACACCAAGTACTTTCTCATGTATCCTTTCATCTTATTTTCAACTTTTGAGGTCAACATGTTCTATTTTCACATGTTACAATGAGATAATTTGGCTTTACTTAATTTATTTGGCAGCCTTAGTCATTCAACTAAACCAGCAACTATCTGTTCAGTTACCTAATGACATCTCATATAGAGAAAAACTTATGTCAACTTAAGTGGACGTCCACTAAGTTTCTTAGTCATTGATGATCACTTGATTGAGCTACATTATGGATGATCCGCTCCGTTGAACTTGATCTACATATTCTAAAACCTCAACACACCAAATTTGGGGTGAACTCGTCGTGGTTTAACCCTTCATCCACTCGTGTCAATTTTAACAGTTTCGAATGAATAAAACTTTTTTTACATGGCTTGACGGAGGGTCAAACCACGACAGGTTCACCCCAAATTTGATGTGTTGGAGTTTTAGAATATGTAGATCAAGTTCAACGGAGCGGATCATCCACAATGTAGCTCAATCAAGTGATCATCAATGACTAAGAAACCTAGTGGACGTCCACTTAAGTTGACATAAGTTTCTCTCTCTCTCTCTCTCTCCTCGCTCTATATATATATATATATATATAAATATATATATATATATATAGAAAAATAGGTATGCTGGTACCAAAGTACAAAATGTCACAAATATTTGTACTTGGTAGTGATGTGTCATATTCTCATCAATTCATCCAAATGATAATATATCCTCAATGTACTCCCCAACTCATAATAAATGTGGTCCTCCTATTTGCAATAACTTGGAGGAGAATATGTCAACCTCATTACCAAGCCCACACAATTTGTGCTTGCGGTACCCAAGCATACACATATTTCTCATATACTATATATATTATATAGAAAAATGGGTATGTTGGGGATACCAAGCATAACAAAGTTGTGCTTGATAGAGGTGACATAATCATCTTCCACTCATTCAAATAGTTTGCCATATCCTCATTAGCACTCCTTAACCCATGTGAATGTGGTCTTCCCATTTTGAATGACGTGGAGGGAATTGTGCACCTCACTACCAAGCACAAAATTTGTGGCTTCGGTAGCGAAGCATACCGCATATTTTCTCATATATATATAGTATATTATATATATATATATATATACTATATATATATATATATTAGTAGTGGAGATAGAGAGGAGAGAAGACTTATGTTAACTTAAAGTGGATCATCACCCAATCTTTCTACTCCATTGATTGATACCCTAAGGGATCTATGGCAATATATGAAGAGACTTTTTTAAAATGTATATGAAGAGAATTCTATCCATATCTACTATATATATTATATATATATATATATATTATATATAATATATATATATATATATATATATATATATATTATATATAAGAGAGAGAGAGAGAGAGAGAGAGAGAGCAAGACTCCTATCAACTTAAGTTGATGTCCACCAAAGTTTGTAGCCACACATTTATTAATATAAAACACATTTTTATATAATACAAGGATCCCTAGGCAATATGAGTGATTAAAAACTTTGGTGGACACACTATTCCCTATCCACTTAAGTTGACACAAGTTTTCACCTATATATATATATAAACCATAAGAATAAGACTTCTATCGTGTAAGGATCTCTAGACAATATGAGTGGCTAAAAAGCCAAACTTCCTAACCACTCATTTATTAATATAAAAATCATTTTCATATCATGCAAGGATCCCTAGGCAATATGAGTGACTAAAAAGTTTGGTAGACAACTTTTTGCTATCCACTTAAGTTGTTTGTCAACACACCCTCTAACTTCGATGAGGACACTAACGTAGATAAGGACTTAAAAATGTGTTCGGCAAAAACTTATCCAAGATTGGACTAGTTTTTGTAGTTCAAAAAAGAGTTCCTTATCTTGATTATCTTTGGACCACCTCCACTTGGGTTCAATCTTAACCTAGTTAAGGCCTTAACCAGATTAGTGTAAAGTTGCATAACACACCCTTTAATTCCATGTTCTGTTGCGAACATATTTTTGTACACCAACTCTAGTCACCAAATCTTTTAGCAGCACGGTACTGGTTTACTATATATGTGCCTCCAGAGCTAAAAAAAACTGCTAGTCACATCTTTATTCTTTACCGAGAATTTGACCCTCCACTTTTCTATTAGATTTATCTGTTTATGTGCTATATGCTGCCTGGAATTTTTTTCGCATTAAGTACAACATTTATTTTGTCAAACTAACAAGTTAAATGCAAATCATGTCATCATGTAATTTTCAGGTAAAAGGCGTTTGCGAGCTTCTTGAAGGCCTTATACCTTACTCTCAGAGGCACTTCAGTAGAGTTGACAGGCTCGTAAGAAGCAGCACATTCTTATTGGATTATGTTCTCGTCAGAATGTCAGTGTTGGATCCAGATATCAATGCAACATCATCCAAATCGGAAGCTATATTGCCTTCAGATAACCGATTGGTGTCCTCAAATAATGGGCAAATAGACCATAAATCAACAAATGAGAATGGTAGTGATGATAAAATGTCGTTACCAGAGATGGAGGAAAAGGCTTCATCCAAGAAACGGAAGTCCAGCAAATCAAAGAAGTCTGGAGAAAAGAAAGCCAAGTTGGCATCACAAAAAGAAGTTTCGGCAATTTCAGTGGGGGCGTAAAACTCCAATTATTGTGTGCTGTATGATTTAAGTTAGTAATATGGTTTTCTGTTAAAGTTATGTTTTTTTTTTCTTTTTTGGCCAACGCATTTTTGTATTGTAACATCATCATTTTATAGCAGTTTATTGCTTTGAGCAATTTTGAAAGCCTAGTGAGTCAACAGAATTTCTATTTGCAAAAGAAACTCATCTGAGTTACTCTTGATGCTCTTTATTTTGCATAATGCTAGTCGATTACAGTGATCTTTTCTTGGATAGCTTTTGTGATTAGTGCATGCTTTACTGTTTGAACAACATCCACAGATGTTTGTGTAAAATGGATTTTGGTTCCTCTTTTTTTCTTCTCTTTTTTTTGAAAGTTGATTATTTTGGACATATTTGGTTTGTAATCTAATCTAATATATATAAATATATATACACTATTCTAAAAAGTGTGAAGGATGATAAAACTTTTTTCCCCCTATAAAGCCCTCTAAATTACATGTGTATCACTAAATTGCCTTCTCCACATTCTCATTCAATTACTTAATAAGAAATCCGAAGGCATAATAGTAATTTGAAGAGATTGTTTGGACAAATTAATTATATCCTTTTGCTCTTTTACAAGGCTTGCATCTGTTGTCTATGCTCATTTCATTTGATTTATCCCTGGCGATAATTCTTTTCTTTTTTTTAGAAAAAATGAGGATTAGTAAACTTTTTCAGTAGTCCATAATTAAACAGATAACTTCTAGAGTTTTAACGTTTCATCTTTCGTATAATTAACCCTCCACATATCATAATTGAACCTCCCATTAATCATCCATCTCCTGAAATTTTGACTATCCATCTTCTAATATTTTATTCTGCAAGAACAATAAGAAAAAGATATCCATAGTACTTGTACACGTGATGTGTATGTATGTATTGCCAGTAACGCAAATTATCTTCAGATGATTTTCTTTCAGATGAAAGAGTACAAATGCGTACTTTCTACGTACACTCGCATTGCTTTCACAACTTACCTCCTCGCGTTAATATTTAATACAGAAATGATAATCGTGAAATCATAAGCTATAAGCAGCATCAATAGATTTATTGTAACTGCGGTACCATCAAGACATTTTGCACAAACTAACAAATGTTTTACACGCTCGGAACAAGTGAAGCGTATGCACAAATTTAACTCCAATGAAACTAAAATGCAAATCTTGAAGCCACTACTTAGCTCGGTGTTTGTTTCTTAAATAGACCTTTTCTTACAAACACCAGTGCAGCTGTTGTGGTCTCTTCTTCGAGTCATTGAGGGTAACCTCTGCTGTCAAAAAAGAAATTATTAGTATAAAATCCGAAAATAAAAGAGTTAGAAATTCAGGCCTGATACGAGTAGCAGTCGTGATTTTACTGTCCTAGAAGATTGAGGACTCGCCTATCGCCCTGGCACAGTCGATCTTTCCCCCCTAGCGGTAAAAGCCCCCAGAAACAGTCAGCCTTTATATTCGGACGAGAGTAGCAGAGTTTCTGCTTAGTTGAAGATGGTTACCCGAAAAGTAATTAAAATAATAGCCGAAATCTTTGAGTGAAAATGGAGGAAGAATATCTCATTTTTAGAAGAGAGGAAGGCTTATTGCTGTGTATCATCCGAGGAGGAGAAAGCCTGCATTTATAGGCGTCGGACGTAGGCGGGCTCATGTCAATTAATAATTCAATTGTAATTCTCTAGTATTCTCTCAAAGAAGTTAAGAATAGGTAGCTCATGGTCATGGACGTAGGCGGTTTTGCTAAACCATGCAAATCTCTTGTATCGACTTACATCTATCTTGCTATTTTTCTTTTCCACTAAAACTGAGTTTTGCACTAAGTTGGTTTCACATTTGTTTCAGCGGTGCATATTAGGGTAAGGAGGGCTTGCGGTCTTGCGGGCTCGATCTCGATAGAGAGGGAGTTTATCCCCAATAATTGGTGTCGAAACTAGCTAGAGGTTCAGAGTGAGATATGAGGAGCAAAGATGATGGTGAATGTTAACAATTTCTTCGTTGAGAAGTTTAATGGAAAAGGGAACTTTACCCTTTGGCAAAGAATGGCGAAAGACGTTCTTACTCAACAAGGCGGCAAAAAGATTTTAAGGGGAAGGAAGGAAAACCAGTGACGATGGATGATGGTAAGTGGGGGGAGCTTATTTATGTAACTGCTCATGTTTTATTTTAAAACATTTATCTTTTAGTTTATGTAACTGCTCACGTTTTTATTTTAAATGCTAAATTCCTATTGGTCAATAAATTAAGAAATTATCAAGTAATTGCACACGTTGATGGAACGTGTGATAATTGTTCTATTTAAGGCTTGGTCCTCGCTCTACCCTTTACGTGGAAAGATTTTCTCTCCATCAAGAAAATTTGGAATAAGTTCAAGAGGGTTAAGGGAGACAAACTGAAGTCTTCAAGGTCATTCATCTTGCAGTCAATTTCTCTTCAAGTTTCAAATCATGGATCAAGGTACACTTTCTTAATAAATTGTTCTTTGTGAAAATCATTTTTGTTCTAAGATCTTGGAATTATGATGATCAAATCAAAATAAAGTAATTGATTTGGCTAAATGATAATTATGTTTACATTTCATGCACATAGCAAATTAAAGAGATTATCAATCTGGTCGCAATTATAATGTAGGGAATATAAGATAATGAAGTACAATTTTTTGCAACTTCTACAACCACGTGATATCTTGATAAATCTTTTGCTTAATAATTCATTGACCACATGTTCTCCGCCTTAAATCTTCCAACTCCTTTCATGCTATATCTCGAACATTGCTTATCATGGTGCTGTCTTTTATTCCCTTGCATATGAAACCTGATCAAAGCCGTTGGGAGTCAAGACTTGTGGTAGTAAGGTAGGATTGAGTACGTCGTCTGGAGTATAGTCAGTACCAAGAGGACAAATGCGGCCACGAGTGAGGAAAACACCCAAGGGTTGGCAAGGTAATTTTGCATGAAGCTGGCACGCCACTTATTCCACCTCTTATTGCAGTACTTTTCCAAGTTCTTGTTCACATTAATTCTATGTATAGTATCAACAGGCTTGACGACCACTGGCAATTCCTTGGTGAGGCGATTGAATAGGGAAGCGATTTCGTTGTTGCTTCCTGCGGTGCAATTGATAATCCCTTTCTTCCTGAGCAGTGCCACGTCTTTATCTGTATCGATGATATTATCCATAAGAAAGACATAATGAGTTAATGCTCCGCCTGTACCATTGTGAATATTCTCGAAGGCAATGTTATTGAGGATGTGTGCCTCAGCATTAGTGTACCAGATTATAGTAGGGAGATTGAGGACTCCATTTTTGAAGCTGATGTCGCTATAGCAGCCGGTTTGACTTGGTTTGAAACTCACCCCTGCTTGGAAGAGCTCCACGGCGGGGCGGACGGTCCATTCATGGTCATAGAAGTAGTCTCCAGAATTAGTGTTACCCCTCCTTTCCATGTCAAGCCAATGGTGGCCCATTCCTCTAATGGTTCGCTGTTCTCCCGGGTCGTTGTAGCCAAGCTCACCAAAGAATTTCTCGGTATCCTCAACCTATAGATGATCGATCGGGTCATCTATTAACTCTAAAAATAAGTACGTAGAAGTACAAGTTCTAGTGCAATATCATCATATATATAAGTTTGGTGACGCATATATTTTAGAAAATCATATATATACCCCAAATAAACATGCATGCACGAGTTACCTCATGACCACCCATTTCTATGAGGATGGCCAGAACAAGAAGTGGGAGCTGGTTCTCCAGCCTCCGTGGGTCCATCCACGTGGCAGTTGACATGTATGGCCTCCCCACCTCTGGTATCCAAAAGTTGTTGATTATAAGTTTCAGTAAGCAGCAACCATCAAGGATCATCAGCTCCAGGAACCTCTCCTTGTCGGTCGACCATGGCTCTTCCAGGTCGTCATAGGCATCCATAAGATCCTGGACCACAGGCCTGAAGGCCTCCGCCACCTGGGCCAGACTCTTGTTGGCCCGCTCGAGGTACTGGGCAAGGAGCAGGCTTGTAGCTCTCCATCAGCTTCAGGTGGGCCTTGCCGTGGTGATACGGTCCGAAAGAGAAGAGCTGGGGTGTGTAGGCATCCTCGTTGAGGCCCCTCAGGATCCTAGGCACCCTGTAGATGCACTTCTTCCTCTGGATCTCAACCTCTCTTTCGTAGTTAATAGTTCCGATCTTCGATTGCAAGTCAATGACCCATCTTCGCTGTTCTTCGAACTCTCTCCCTCCCTCCCTCTCTCCTTCACTCTCATGTATAGCTTCGATCGTCGACTGCAAGTCAATGACCCATCTTTGCTGTTCTTCCATCTCTCTCTCTCTCTCTCTCTCTCTCTCTCTCTCTCTCTATCGTGGATACAAATGGTTGCTGGGTTGAAGGTGAATAAATAGCGCGCGGTGAGATGCTAAACTTGAGAATTGTCCCAAGCATTCAATTATTAAATGCTTTCTAAGCTTGTGAAGTACAAGTCAGTCACTTAAGGATAAATTGAATTAAAATTGGATAAATTGAGCAAAAGTTTTGCATATAGGAGGGACTTGTTTATTGAGATTCTTAGTTGTGACGCTACTTGGATGTTGTTTACAAATATTATTTCCTTATATTTTAGTTTTAGTGTAAGAGAGAGAAAAAAAAAGAAAAAGATTTTGATTTTACGTGCTTAATTGCCACTCAAGAGAATCCTTGATAAGTCATAGATGCCACATTTTGTTACACTAGTTTTATACCCATGCACCTTACACTTTTGTAGCTTTGTCAATGTGTTTTAGTTTACTTTGGTATATTTTACATTTGAATGTTATTTTGCATTTGAACTTTTGTTGTCCTTTCGATTCTTTGTGGTACTTTTCTCCAAATTTGCTTTGTGTTGTTGTGCCTAGAGAGATGTAGAGCGTGATTTTGCGCATGTATAGGATTATATATATATGTGTGTGTTAAATAAAGTTTGCATGCATGCATGTTTTAATTTCAATGTATATATCGTTGTCCACGAATTACTAAGTTATTTAAAATTATTTTTTCATAAATGAGAATATAACAAGATGTTAATATCAATTTTGCATTGAACGTAGATGAATGTTACGGATGGAGAACAATTAAAGAAGATATGTGCTAACAGAACTATAGAAATAGAACTAAGAGTAGTCCCAAGCAACCAATTATTTAGAGATCGATGAAAAACTTGAGAGGCCTATTTTTTCTTTTTGAGTTAGCTAGTGAAGTACCCTACCTGTAAATTAGCCACTATAAGGATAGATAAATTGACTTAAAATTGAGCAAAAGTTGTGCGTAGGATCGATGGATTCATTTATGAGCTGCTAAGATTCTTAGTCGTTACAGTACTATATGGATGGTGTTTCTTATAATTTAGTTTTGGTATATATGCTTGCTTGGTGTAAGAGAGCCAAAAAGAAAGGGGAGGAATGTTTCCTTTTAATTTTGGTTTCGGTATATATGCTTGCTTGGTGTAAGAGAGCCAAAAAAGAAAGGGGAGGAATGTTTCCTTTTAATTTTGCTTTCCTCTCACTCAAGAGAATCCATGATAAGATCTAGTCATGTATATATGAGTATTTTGGTCTCTGACCCACCCAGCTTATAGAGTTGCTTCGTTTTTGTTACACTTAGGTTTCTTTGGCTTTTATCTGGCAGTTCCTTTTGGTGCTTTTCTCTGTCCTCTTATCTTATAGGACAAATTTTTAAAATAAACCGTTTTTTATTATTAATAGGCAAAATCGACCGCATTCTTAAAAAAACGGCAAAATCGACCGTCCCAATCTCTCTCTCTCCTCCCCTTCTCTCTCTCCTCACACACCTGTCTCCCTCCTCCTCCCTCAAGCCGCCCCCTCTTCTCCCTCGTCCTCATCTTTCTCCCACTGCCATCACCATAGGCGCCGACCTCTCCAGCCTCGCCGCAGCCACCCACTTCCACTCCTCCTCCGTCCCCTTCCTCCTCCACGACTCTTCTGACTCCGTTGGCGGCCGCATCCGCACTGACGACGGCTTCCTCCTGAACTCCCCTGATCAGAGCCCTGATCCTGGCTTCGAACTCCCCCGCCTTCTCCCTCCTTCGCCTCTCCCTCTCGGCCTCCACCTGCATCTCCACCCTCCTCAGCCTCCACGTCGCCTCCTTCCGCTCCGCCGCCCACGCCCGCTGCAACTTCTCCATCTCGAGGATCGGCTTGAGGGAGGAGGAGGGAGACAGGTGAGTGAGGAGAGAGAGAAGGTGAGGAGAGAGAGAGAGCGAGGGATTGGGACGGTCGATTTTGCCGTTTTTTTTAGAATGCGGTCGATTTTGCCTATTAATAATAAAAAACGGTTTATTTTAAAAATTTGTCCTATCTTATATTATATTTGAAGTTTTGTCGTCCTTTTGATTATTTTTGGCACTTCTCTCTTAATTTGCTTATGCATTTTTGTGACTAGGGATGAAGAGTGTGATTTTGTATAAGATTATGTGTGCCAAGTAAAGTTTACATGCATGTTTTAATTTCAATGTATCGTTGTACTGTTGTGCGCAGCGGAAATTTCGGCAGCACTTCGGCAGCACAACAAGAGAGATTAGATCGATAAGAATTCCCGTCTCACCAAGAAAACAAGAATCTGAAGCGAATATCTCAACCAAGTGAGATATCGCCTCTTCCTCTCATCAGTTCTAGGACTGACCTGTCGAGGGATCCTACAAGCTATTACAAATCACGGCAAGAACACAAATTTTTACGTGGTTCGGCAAACTGCCTACGTCCACGGGGCAAGGAGGGGGGAGATCTACTATTAGAGGGAGAGATACAACTAGGGTTTACAATCTCACAAACTCTAAACCCTCTCAAACAAACTCTCAAATCCCTCTTACAAATATTCTCTCAAAGGCACAAAAAAAGGACTCCTGCAGCCGCCCAATGTTTCCTCTGCAGCCGCCCACCCAAGACCAAAGCTCCTTGCACTTTTCGTCTGCTGCAGCCGCCTAAAGGAAAACCCCTTGATTGATTTTGGAATCAGCCGCAAAATCACAAAAGAAATCCTCTGCCTTTGCTTGTAGCCGAAAAGAAATCCCAGCCTAGCACCTGACCTCGCACTTGCACCCCTTTGTAGCTGCCAGCAAAGAAAACCACCTTGCACACGCCTCCAAGCTGCTGCCTTCACGAAACCCTAGACAAAATGGTTTTATACAAAGGACAAACGGGTGGGCCTTGGTAATTCCGCATGGACCAAAGGGTTTCGTCCGTTGGGGTTTTTTTTTCGCTGGCTTCATTCACTCTTCATTCACGTGATTACACTCACGTGGCTCCCACATCACAATTCTCCACCTTGGCGAAATTTTCCCAAAACTGAGCCGACACCAATCAAACCAAATGCCTCACTTGTTGTATCCAGTACGTCATGGCAACGGACTCATGACAACGGATTCCATCCACAACAGGTCGAGACCCAAACGGGAGTGCGAACACTCAACCCAAAACAAATAGTGTCTACTCACCGAATCAAACTGAGCCTACACCGACTACACCAAATGCCTCACTTGCTGAGACCCAAATGGGAGTGCGAACACTCACCCCAAATGTCGATGTCGCTCACCAAATCAATCTCACCCCCATCAACTAATCCAAAACCCGGCTGCATCATAAAGACTGCCTACGTATCCTCTTGCCCAAGGAATCAAGCCTTCACGTAGTTCACCCAAATGGCCTCCAAAGGCCCTCAAACAAATAGAAAAGTCTACAACTTTTCTCCAATATCACCAAACGATCTGCAACTGATAGCACTCCCAATGGCCCCAAATTGAGACAAATCAAA